GATGGGCATGACTTGAAGACACTGAAACTTAAATGGTTAAGGCAACAGATTGGTCTTGTGAGCCAAGAACCAGCCTTGTTTGCTACTTCCATCAAAGAGAATATACTCTTAGGCCGTCCTGACGCAGATCAAGTCGAGGTAGAAGAAGCTGCTCGAGTCGCAAATGCGCATTCCTTTATCATCAAACTACCTGATGGCTTCGACACACAGGTCTGGTCACATGCCATTTTATGTTCATAAATGTTTTTTTTAGAATCTGTGTTCTGTAAATTTGCATTAGTTTAATGTATTTTTGAAAGTCAAAAGAGTGGTCATGGGAAAGCATTTATGACAGAAGCACATGGGTTTGGTCAACAACGCATGTGACAAGTAGTTTCAGTCATGTGTGTTGATGTTGAAACTTTTATTCTTTTATCTTCTTCATGCTACTTTAACTTAAGACAATAAACAACTATCACAGTGGATTTTTTTTATGCTCATTTGGTTAATGTAACATAATGTCCAGGTTGGGGAGAGAGGACTACAACTTTCAGGTGGACAGAAGCAAAGAATAGCAATCGCAAGAGCCATGTTAAAGAACCCGGCGATACTTTTATTAGATGAGGCTACAAGCGCTTTGGATTCTGAATCAGAGAAGCTAGTGCAAGAAGCTTTAGACCGTTTCATGATAGGAAGGACCACTCTCATCATCGCTCACCGCCTTTCAACCATCCGCAAAGCTGACCTTGTAGCTGTGCTTCAGCAAGGAAGTGTCTCTGAGATGGGAACACACGACGAGCTTTTCGCCAAGGGAGAGAATGGTATCTACTCTAAGCTTATTAAAATGCAAGAGGCAGCTCATGAAACCGCCATGAACAATGCAAGAAAGAGTAGCGCGAGGTGTGTTCAAATTCATATTGCTTTTGCTTGGCTTTGATTGATATGCTTTAATGTTATTCTACTTGTTGTTGCAGACCGTCTAGTGCTAGAAATTCGGTAAGCTCACCGATAATAGCTCGGAACTCTTCTTATGGAAGGTCACCGTATTCGCGGAGACTCTCTGACTTCTCAACTACTGACTTCAGCCTCTCCATTGAAGCTTCTTCATACCCAAACTATCGAAACGAGAAGCTAGCATTCAAGGACCAAGCCAACTCCTTCTGGAGGCTAGCGAAAATGAACTCACCAGAGTGGAAATACGCTCTCCTTGGTTCTGTAGGCTCTGTCATCTGCGGCTCACTAAGCGCCTTCTTCGCATACGTCCTAAGCGCGGTCCTAAGCATCTACTACAACCCTAACCATGAGTACATGATCAAACAGATTGATAAATACTGTTATCTCTTGATCGGTCTTTCTTCTGCAGCACTTATCTTCAACACGCTACAGCATTCTTTCTGGGACATTGTGGGAGAGAATCTGACCAAGAGAGTCCGTGAGAAGATGCTTACCGCTGTGCTCAAGAACGAGATGGCTTGGTTTGATCAAGAGGAGAATGAGAGTGCAAGAATCTCAGCGAGGTTGGCTCTTGATGCTAATAACGTGAGATCAGCTATAGGAGATAGGATCTCTGTCATTGTGCAGAACACAGCGTTGATGCTTGTTGCTTGCACTGCTGGTTTTGTTCTGCAGTGGAGACTCGCACTCGTCTTGGTTGCTGTCTTCCCTGTTGTTGTTGCGGCAACTGTCTTACAGGTTCGTGTTCTTGCGAAGCAAAATGAACATTCTCTTATTTGTGGTTCTTACATCTGAAACTCATTTGTTTTGTCTTTTTTTTGCATCAGAAAATGTTCATGACTGGATTCTCTGGAGACCTTGAAGCAGCGCATGCCAAGGGAACACAGCTCGCTGGTGAAGCCATAGCTAATGTCAGAACAGTGGCAGCGTTCAATTCAGAGGCAAAGATTGTTCGTCTCTACACCGCAAACCTCGAGCCACCATTGAAACGCTGCTTCTGGAAAGGACAGATCGCTGGAAGTGGCTACGGTGTAGCTCAGTTCTGTCTCTACGCATCTTACGCTCTAGGGCTATGGTACGCGTCGTGGCTTGTGAAACACGGCATCTCTGACTTCTCCAAAACCATAAGAGTTTTCATGGTTCTAATGGTCTCAGCTAACGGTGCAGCAGAGACACTCACATTAGCTCCTGATTTCATCAAAGGTGGTCAGGCTATGAGGTCGGTTTTCGAGCTTCTTGATCGAAAAACCGAGATTGAACCAGATGATCTTGATACCACACCAGTACCAGACCGGTTACGCGGCGAAGTCGAGCTGAAACACATTGATTTCTCCTACCCTTCAAGACCAGACATACAGGTTTTCCGTGACCTTAGCCTTCGTGCTAGAGCTGGCAAGACTCTGGCTCTTGTCGGTCCAAGCGGGTGCGGGAAAAGCTCAGTCATCTCCCTCATCCAGAGATTCTACGAACCGTCCTCAGGCCGAGTCTTGATAGACGGCAAAGACATAAGGAAGTACAATCTAAAATCCATAAGGAAACACATAGCAATAGTCCCTCAAGAGCCTTGCTTGTTCGGCACGACAATATACGAAAACATCGCATACGGACATGAATGTGCCACCGAAGCAGAGATCATACAAGCCGCGACACTAGCCAGCGCCCACAAGTTCATATCAGCGTTGCCTGATGGTTACAAGACGTATGTCGGAGAGAGAGGCGTTCAGCTCTCAGGAGGACAGAAACAGAGGATAGCGATAGCACGTGCCCTAGTGAGGAAAGCAGAGATCATGCTTCTTGATGAGGCCACAAGTGCTCTTGATGCAGAGTCCGAGAGGTCGGTGCAAGAAGCGTTGGACCAGGCTTGCTCTGGTAGAACATCTATTGTAGTGGCTCATAGGTTGTCTACAATCAGGAACGCACATGTTATCGCGGTGATTGATGATGGTAAAGTTGCTGAGCAAGGGTCGCATTCGCATCTTCTCAAGAACTATCCTGATGGAATCTACGCGAGGATGATACAGTTGCAGAGGTTTACGCATACTCAGGTGATTGGAATGACGTCAGGGTCGAGTTCTAGGGTTAAGGAAGATGATGCTTAGTAGTTACTACTTTGGTCATATAGAAGAAGAGAAAGAACAGAGTAAGTAAAAGACGGACAAACAACAGAACATGTTCTGAACAAAAACTCTGCGAGCTTATTGTTTCTTCTTTTTTATGTTGTAATTTTGAGGTTACTTATTTTTGAAACTACGTTTCAGATTTGATGGTATAGTATTATTATTAATATTGTGTATTATTATGGTTAATCTAATTGTTCATCTGTGTAATATCAATTTATCCGTGATCAATTTAGGAGACTTCGTACTGAGATGAAAATGAGTCGTCATTGCATAGCTCCAACGAAAATACTGAGATCAGTTTTATCTTTGATCATATAATTATATGGAAAAAATGTTAAAAAGATATACGATGTGCAAATATAATAGATATAAATTTCAAGTGTAGTATTAAATAAAACCACTAAACATAAGTCCTCATAAAATAAAATAAAGTAGAATTGGCAGTCATCATGTTACAACTTTCATAATTGTAGTAGAATACTAAATCAGTTTTAAAAACCTTATTGTCATTGAGTGCACACGATATTACACAATATATACATATTCGTCTGGTTTGTTATAGATTTCAGGATAAGACTACCCTTAGAATCATGAGATCCGTTCTAGACAAAAAGAAGTGTTGAAATGTGATCATTTAAGTTTTTTAATCGTATTGCTTAGATGAGTTTTTGAATGTTTTGGGTCTACAACTTTATTTTAAAATCCCCTTGTGTAAAAATCATGCCTTTTTTAAGTAGACCATGATTAGTAAAGTAAATATATACAAGGTTATTAGATATCTTTTGACAATATTGTCGAAGAAAAGGGACGCTTTGATGAATAGGCACACGAACATACGTGGGGAACAAAATGATGAAGATGAGAAAACAGAAAATGAGAGAAAAGAAGATGGGACCAAAAAGGACAGTAGACGAGATGATGATGATCAGAGACAGAAAGCAAAAGAACAAAAAGAAATGAAAAGACAACATTTTTCTTTTGTGTTTATATGAAACTTTTTATGAGCAATGCTTGATTTCGTTTCTTAGTGTAACACACGCGTGCAACTATACACACATGTATACATTTAGGACACACGTCGTGAATGAATGATGATGACGACTAGTTTTTCACTTTATCTTAGTTGTTGTAATACAATAAAAAAATTTATGAACAAACTTGTATATATTATAGTGGAGGATAAGAAGCAAGAGCTCTGTATTCGGCCATGTAGTTCACTCATTGAAAATTGAAGGCCATAATGGTGGTAGACATGCTACGCGGATAGGTTTCCCTCACAATCTTGCTCAACAAAACTTTTAGTACTAGTTATACCGTATATGTATTTTGAATATAGGAAGGAGTACTATCAGATGAGAATCAAATTCAACTGATTTTAATAATTTAAAAATTAAAAAAAAAATACACGATAAGATATAAAGAATGGATCATAATGTATGTAGTAGCTAAATCACTACTTAAAGTCTTAAACTGTCATTAAATTGGAAAAAGTGTCATGTGGATCAAAGTTTGGAGATATCAGATAGTTTCAGGTAATGTGGATATTTTTGTACAACTTATTAGTTTTCAAAAAAATTGATCATCCAAATAAGAAATTCAGATTAATATTTGATCAACTGAGTTTGGACTGGTTCAAGATTGTATATAGTATTAATTACCTGTATATCATTCCCATGCTTATGCATTAGCATGTGATTTTGTGGGAACGATATGATCTACATGTGGTTTGAGGTTAACAACGATTTGAATGGAAAATATCGCATGTCTAGGTCAATTTTAGCAAGAAACGTTACAGAAGTAAGATGTTCCCGTGCACATATGGAGAATCTTTGACGAGTTTCTTTCATGATATTCGCTGAACGCCTTGTACTGGAAACTGGTGTAGAAGCAAAAGGGTATTGTGAGGGATCGTACAGAATGAAACCGGATGGCGGGAGATGGGTAAATTGAACAAATCATATTGCACCACTAAAGAAACATTGGAAAATGTTTTCGTTTAAGTCACTGTAGAATAAGGGACACTTGAAACATGAGTTAGTTACCCCTGTGATCAATACTCTTTTTATCTAAATACTGGTTTACTTTAGGAATTGTTTAGTTTAACTAGTAAGGACCATCTTACAACACATTCCAGGTTCCATTAACAGTCAACTATTAAGAAAGAAAAAAAAAACTGAAATAAACTCAAGCAGCCATCATGAGCTTTGGACCATTGTCCGGCATTCCCATTCCAGCTGCTAGATCTGCATCGAGTTGTGAGTGTGGCGCTGGTCCATTCATTATTTTCACACTACATCAATCACACAAAATATATATCAGTCTAATCAGTTCAGTCACATACACACAAGTTATCCAAACAACATTACTACATATTATTAGGATATATTAACTTTCTGATCCAAGGGACATGCATAGATCAACAATACAATCACAGAAAGATACTAATAGCAATTGGTCAGAGTTTGAACATAACAAGCAGGACAAACTATCACTACCACAATATAACGTCAATGAAAACTCGTTTAAGTGTAGCGACCGTTTCAATATTACTATCACTACCACAAACTAACGCAAAATACATCCCACTTACCGCTTCTTGTGTTTCTTCGTCTTGAAATGATCATCTCTCACAGACGCATTGGAGAAGTACCGACTGAAACATATCAAGTCACGACATAAACAAGTGAATCAGAGAAACATATTTCAAGGGCTCAAACAGAGACGCGATACACTGTGAAGTTAGGAAATAAACAAGGGAATCAGAAAAATACACATGCCACACAAAAAATGATCAATCCGAAACAGAAGCAAAAACATGAATGTCAAGGGTCTAATAAGAGACTAGAAATATATCAATTTAATGACAAAAATACAACTAAATCAGACAAACACATACATGTCTGATTCAGACATAACAAGAAACACATATGTAACATGTCTTACTCGCAATGCAAGCAGTAGAATTGACCCATTCCAGGCAAATCCTCATCAAGCTTCAAAGGCTTTATCTCCGTCTCTGGTTTACGCAACTCCGTATACACCAAATCGTCGCGTGAAAAATCTCCGTCAAGGGAAACAACAAACAAAAAAAAAACACACTCTATTTTCACCAAATCAACAACTATAACCATCTCAAAAGGATATCTTTGACTTCGAATTTGTCACGGCGAGCTGTTTTGTGAGACAAACGCCTCTTCTTCACCTTCCTTGTCGGGCATCTACCCATTTTATATTCCTAAGTGTTTGGTGAAATTGAGATTACTAGTGTGCGAATTGTGAGAATACAAACGAGTTTTATACATCAAAAAGAAAACTTACGGTTTAGAGAAGAAGCTACACGAGGAGGAGATGGAGACGACGATGCGGAAGAGAAACCCTGGAAGAGTCTTGCTTTCTGTATTAATTGACCTAATTTTGGCGGTTTGAATGTACCCATGTGGCTGACGTGAGGCCCATCTTCATTAAAAGGCTTTAACTGGCCCATGGACCTTGTTACATTTGACAGCGGAAAAGGATTTGATGTGTCATTTAAATCCAAAATCTGAAATTTACACTATGGATGAGTCATTTTATAAGTTTAACTAAAGCTTGATCGGTACACCCGCAAGGGTGTTTATTTTACGATAGATATATAAATATTTTATAATATAACTAGAGATTTTATCCGGGCTACGCCCGGAATTTATACAAATAACATTTATTTAATATCAATATTACAATATACTATTTCGATGCTATAAAAATATATATATATTAAGCTAAATAAAAAATTAGTAAAACTAACAAATTTATTATTATTACTATTTAAAATATGTATAGGGTAGAATTAAAATTAAATTTCTAGAGAGAAATAGGAAAAAAAAAAGAAAAATCATGATTGTCAAAACCATAAACTGATGTTGATACTGAAGATCCAAAGAAGATCTTCCATTATTATAACTCTATTTTCACCAGAGAAAAACATATATGTTTACTCACAATAAACTGGTAATTAATTATTTCTTTTTCCCAATACGTTGTTGTCATCTCCAGCGTGGATTTTGAATCTTGATCGATGAAAAATTACCGTGGTAATTATTGTGGAAAACATATGTCAGAGAAGGAGAATTTTTTTTTTTGTTATATGGCGTTATTTCTAGAATTGTTGAAGATTAGTATATTGGATTCCTTATCAAAAGACATCTATAGTTCAAGATTGAAAACCGATAAATGTTATACAACAAAGAAAATAACCATGGAAAGTTTGGAATTTGATCGCAAAGTCGATATTCAAACATAAAGATTGCATTAAGAAAGTCCATAAGAAATTATATTTTATTTTAGATTTTCATTTGATTGTATGTTTATTATTTTATGTGTAAAATGACATTTAATATAAATAAAATTGTTGTTACAAAAAAAAAAATATATGTATGGGATGGTGAACAAATGTGAAATCAATGTATAATTTGTTAACCTTAGTTACTTTCCAAAATATGTTTTCTTACATATTTAGGTTGTTATGAAAATATATTATTAATATCCACATCACATATTTATTTGATATATATATTATATATATTATATATATCATATTTATGTTTCTGTTTATAGGTTATTTAATACTTGGTAATACATTTCGTGAAATTATATTTTTTTTTTACAATTATAATAAGTAAAGCTAATCTAAATACTCATTTCTTTTAGTAAAACAACTTTTAAAAATGTTGTATGTATTAAATGTACTGAAAAATTTATGAAAATATTATTATTAATATATTCTTTTGTTAGCTATAAAAAATATATCTTACAATCTAGCTATAGATAAAATATTATTGTGTGTTAAAACTCAGTGTAAAATGATAAGCAAAATATTCGCAATAGATCTTCACAATTTATTCAGATTTTATTATTATATATAAGTTCGTTTCATAATTACTATTTTTAAAACACAGTCAGGTTATTACACTGTTATTAAAAACAAAGTTTTATATACCAATTAGGGGAGTATGTTTTCAGTCCAAAACTATGCTTGAAAAACATTATTTTTATTTTTATTTCATTTCCAGTAAAATCATTTTACAATCTTGTACTAATATCACAAATTGAAAATATAAATCATTCCTAATTCGATATAGCCTTATTTTTTTTTTTACATTAAAAAAATAGTGATTTAGACTATTAGTTTTTTTCTTACTTCGAATTTTCAATATTTGTTTTGGTAAACTTTATACACTACTTTGATTTTAACCTTCACAATTTATTCAATATTCGCAATAGATCTTCACAATTTATTCAGATTTTATTATTATATATAAGTTCGTTTTATAATTACTATTTTTAAAACACAGTCAGGTTATTACACTGTTATTAAAAACAAAGTTTTATATACCAATTAGGGGAGTATATTTTCAGTCCAAAACTATGCTCAAAAACATTATTTTTATTTTTATTTCATTTCCAGTAAAATCATTTTACAATCTTGTACTAATATCACAAATTGAAAATATAAATCATTCCTAATTCGATATAGCCTTATTATTTTTTTACATTTTTAAAAAATAGTGATTTAGACGATTAGTTTTTTTTTTTACTTCGAATTTTTAATATTTGTTTTGGTAAACTTTATACACTGCTTTGATTTTAATCTTTTCTTTATTTTTTGTGAACAGAAATTAAAAAACGTTTGTTTGTCGTATTATTTAATGTGGTATTACTTTGTTTTCTTTAGTGGTTTCCTCAAATTTCCTATTCTTCTGGTTTGGTGTCAACCTTGGACAACAACTTGATTTACAGTTTCAGTTTACTGTCGTGTTTGTTATTGAATGGCTATCGATTAATTTTTCAAACCAAAGTCTGTGAGTCAATTTCTTCATTTGCGTAACCCAACTCCCTTTTTGAGCTCCCCTTCGACTTTACACTGTCATGATCCTTAACATTTTCCCCTTTTTTAATGTTTATATATATATATATTTCCCTTTCTTTTAATTCTAGTGATCTTTCAAGGAACATGTGTGAACATGACCACTAACATATATAAAAGATCTAGTGAACATTATTCTTGATTTTAAAAACAGAACAACAAATCTGAAGTGAATAATAAAAGAAGTAATAAACATTTCGGATATAGAATTACTTGTATTTCGTACGTAAATCCTATTATGTCCTAAGCCAAGTTTTTTTATTACAGACTATGTGATGCATGTGATACAATCAGAGTTGAGAATGGCCTGTGACAAACACATAACAGGCCTGTATGACAAATGAAAAACTGACTTGGAAAAAAATAGAACTTCTATTCTCTGTTGATACAATTGAGTTTTGAATGGGGTTTCTGGTTTACCTTTATTTAATGGAAGCTCGTTCCTATTTCCGCTAAGTAGAACCGTCATTAGAAGTCTTCCGTACCTCTCATTCAGTGGATCATCGATGAGGCATAGTTATCAAAATTGTAGGAACCGACTGGCTACGACCAATGACATCAGAATTTGCAGAGCTAACATCACTAGCCTCGACTCTATAACTAATACCAAAAACATGTTTCGTCCTACTCAAGATTGTGAAAATCGATCTAACCAAGAGAAGAAACGTATAATTATAACTACGGTTCCACAGAGACACATCCCGCAAAGTCTTGACTTCATGTCTTCTCCACGTAACTTTTCTCTGATACTCCAATAAATTGTCGCTTGCAGATTCATTAGTCAGCATTCTCTTGAAAGTCTGTTCAAGATCCGCGAAAATCTCAGTCTACTGATACAAACTTGCAATTGAAGATATGAAACGTTCCATCCTCTTCACTTTCCTATCCATCTTCTTCCACCCAAACTGCCACCCATAAGGTCACCACCAGTCACTATCATCTCACTAAAACAACTCTCAAAACTCTTCAACTTAGGATCATCACCTTTTCTAGCTAACCTAACCACACCTTTCGTTACATTCTCAACGTTCTCCATCATCTCATTAAAATCCAGAAACAATTGTATTTGTTTCCTTACTTGTACAATGTGCTTCAGTGACAGAGAAAGCTTTTCGGTGCTGACCGTGAAAAGATCATTCAAAGATGCAGCCAGCTAAGTCCTTCCCAATTGAGTCTCTTGAGAGCTGAAGCCCTTGCTTACGCAGTTCAAATTAACTGTAGCATCTATTGTACATATAATATTCAACTGGAGGAAAAGAAAACATTGATGTTGAACGATTTTAGTCCAGCTAAAGAAAGCAACCATGATGATATCAATGAGAGAAGGTAAGAGATTGAGTCACCATCCAAACTTATCAAGATTTCCCTTTTCAATCCATCAGAGTCTTGTAGATCAATGTTGTTTGATTTCTCACGCTGCACTGCTTTCTTGGCTTTTTCTGCATATGTGCAAGTGTGAAAATTAGTTTGTTGTCACTGTAAGATGCTTAAGACCCAGAGGAATGTTAAAGTTTCCCGTATACTATGAGGACAGAGCAAGCACCTGAGTGAAACACAAAACAATAACTAATTTGAGTCTCCCAACCAAAACCGGTATTTATGCGGTAATAGCTTTACCCACAGCTGTACAACAATGAATGGATTTTTGGAATTATCTATATAACCAAAACAATGATTCAAAAGAACAAAAGCTCTAACTTATACTCTTATGTCCATTCTCACGGCACATAAAGAAAACAAACTCGGAGAAGTCCACATACAAAGAGGACATATAAAGATTAGATCACAGTGCAGCTTGTCAAGAAGAAATATTTAACGAACTATTTGTGTAGGAGACGAAAAACTTACCACTAAGTCCAGGCGTGACATGAGCTTGAAACAATTCATCAAAAGTGGAACTTCTGCCATAGAATGCAAGGGGGAATAAGCGAAAAGATTAGAGAACCAAATTCTCTGTGAGCATAACATCATACATAGAGAGATCAGAGAAGTCTCCGTCATGAGGTACCTGAATTTGTGAGACACGTTCAACATCAAATCGTCGCAAGACATCTCAAAAGTTGTACCCCTAAATCATAGTGAATACAGAGAAAATATTTAGGAGATAAGTTACTAAAGAATAAAAAATTGAACCCTAAAAGTGTTCGCTTAAAACAACTATGCCTGAAACAATGACCAAAGTGTTCATGTCAAATCCAATCACCAAGCAAGGAAACTGATATAAGACCTTATCATCAAGCCTTTCAACTGCTTTTTGAGCTTTTCTTATACTTTTAAAGCGAACAAATACAAAAGCACGCGAATCACCAGTCCTAAAACAAAAAAAAGGACACATTAAAAAAGAGAAAAAAATCATTGGTTCAGTTACAAAGACATGAGATCATAATTTCGCACTAACCTTCGATCTCTAGGAATAGACATCCACGGCCTTTCCGTACTTTGCGAATAGAGAATAAATATCATCCAATACAATACAGAACAAAACCCTCAATCTCTAAGAAGAAGATCATGACCTACTTTCAAATCAGCAGGAGAACAGCAGAGCTAGCCGTTTTGGTACTGGAATTTAGAAAAATCTTATGATTGAGAAGATTGAACTGATGATTTCGACGGGGTAGATAGTACCTTTTTATAGTAGAAGATCCTGAGAAAAGAAGTAAAGGGGATGCATTAAAGATCGATCGTGGGAGGAGAGGACACCAATGGTTAATGAGTGCTTTGATGACGACGATTCAACCCAGTCTTACTCCGTAACGTTTCAGATTATTTCGATTGGACGATGAACATAATAAGGTTGGTGAAGCTTTCGTGGAGATGGCGGATTTGCCAAAAGGAAGAAAAGATTATCCTTACACATGTATGGCCTTTGGCCCAATGATTTTAACTTCAGAACCAAATATAAAGATCCTGCAGCCCATGAAAAATTGCGTCCACGAAAATTGTTTAAGATGTGCCACGTGTCATTTTTCCATTGGCTAATTATTTATACTTACGTGGCATAGCTAGATGATGAGGGTATTCCCCTTTTAATCATAGTAGATAGTTTAACTAGATTTTGACCTGCGCTTTAAAAGCGCGGATATATTTTTACCATTTTAATAAAATTTATTTAAATTAATTATTCAAACACAAAAATTTTCAAATTGTTTTATTAATATTTAAAAAAGTTCTATTATAATGTTTGATTTTCACGTAATGTTTCCATATCCGACACAGATCCATAGTTGAACCGGTACATCCGGCAATTTTTATATAATCCAGTTAAGATTTAATTAAAAATTTACTAATTAAAAATTTAAGCCAACCCGGTATATATCTTAAAACCCTCTATTAATCTGTATTATGATATCCGTTGATCCGTTAAATAACCCCATAAAAACTGATAATATATTTTTAAAAATTTGTTAAATAATTCATATTTTTAATATTAAATAAAATTGAATTTTTGTAATTTCTTTAATAAAAACTTTCTTGTTATTTGAAAAAAAAATAAAACAATGGTAATAGAAAAAAAACACAATTTATTCATATAACAATATTAGTTTATTTTCGTTATTAATAACCTATGATAAGTTTACATTTTTACTCATTTTATATCTAAAATTTAGTTTTTTAAACAAATTGAATTGACATATCATTATTATGAATAAAATGAAACAGTAAATAATAATTTATAATTTGTGATCGCTAAATAATATGATGCACGGAAATATGATATTAAAATTAAAGAGAAAATCATAATTTTCATAAAAGAAAAATTATTATTAATCACAAAATAGGAAATATAATTAGTTACCATAAATATAGAAGATATTAAATTGTTTAATTAATTAAGATTCTAAAAATAAATAGTGGTATTATCTTATAAATGTGATAAAATCTAGGGGTAGAATCCAAAATTTTAACAATAGGATTCTGCTTTAATAGTATAGATGGTTGCACTTGCACCATTTTAGTTTATTATTGAGAATAAGTATTACAATATTGTATCGTGTGTTTTGTAATTTTGCAAAAAAATAATTTGATTAGATATTAATATAACATGTCAACTCGAATATAAATTAGCATTTCTTTCATATTATATTGTATTACTTAAAATGTGTTATTAATTTTAAACTATTCCTAAAATTTTATGAAAAGGAAGGTACGTAATATATGACTGAATCACACCTAATATATATATATGTGCAAATTATTTTATGAGAAAATAGTTTTTTAAGACCAAAACCATTAGGAAGTTGTCCCTTTAATCTAATCTCATTTAGTTATTGTCCCATTAAGTTATTTTTTTCCTAAATGGTAATAATACCCTTAGAACAGTTTAATAATTCGTAATTATAATTAGAAAATAATAATAAAATTATTATTTTAATTAAAAAATTGTATTAGAAATTAAAAAAATTAAAAAAACAAGATATTTTCGATTTGATCAAAAAGTATATTCGAAATTAAAACTTAAAAAATAAAATAATATTTTTGATTTAATTAAAAAAGTATATTTGAAAATAAAAAAAATAAAAAATTAAAAAAATTAAAAAACCCCATATTTGAAAACGGTTTTTCCTTTTTTATTTTTATTTTTTCAAATCGATTTTATAATATGGCAACTGAATATTTGCAAATATTTGCTTCCTATATTTTTGGATTTGGTTAACCTTATCCGTAGAATATGTATTCAACTAAAGGTAGAACTCATTAATAATGTTAGAAATCAATTTCTACAGACTTTAGAATGACAATACTCTGTAGATTCTGGTTTCTACATATTTTAGATCTATCGAAATGTTCAGATTTCGGTTTCTACCGATTTTAGAAGGAACGGTTTAAGGAAGAATGTGTATTCTAAAGTTTTTTAGATTACTATTATTTTCGTAGAACACGTATTCTGAACACTGTAGAATTTCTTAAAGAAGTAGATTTTATATTCTACATGGTAGAAAACGAATTCTAATATTGGTAAAACACAGTCATGAAATTATGATTTACACATTTTTAAAACTGTAAAAAAATATTACTAGATTGATATAGGTATTTTATCAATATGTACTATTTTTAGAATTTTTTTTCGTGCATAAAACTATTTATTTGATTAAATTACAAAAATAATAAAGGGCATTAGAGTCAAAAATGGACCAAAATATAGATTAACCTAAAAGGACAACTTCCTAATAATTTTGGTCTAAAAAAACAGTTTCGCCTTATTTATTCGTTTGCTTTTCTAGCAAATCATCTAAACTTTAAGAATATGTTAGGAATTTAAATTGGCCTCCCATATTTTAGGCTGTTTGATTTAAATAGATAGCTATTACGAATATAGTAGCAGAACTTCAAATTAAGTATTTTAAATATAATTTGCATTTTGGCCCTTTAAACAAACCATAAGATTGTTCATCATATGTGGATTTTTTTTAAAAAAGGTAAACACACACAATGATAACTACAAAAAAGGAACCAAAACATGGAAATGATTTATTGGTTTACATGAGAACAATAGTTGTATGAGAAACAATTCTCACAATTGAATAATCATTATATATATTTGTTTGAATGTATGTGTTAGGTTTTACACAATTGGTGTATAATAGTAGTTAATTGAATTGTGTATTGTTGGATTTTATTTTGAAGAAAAAACAAATGGAGATATAGTTAGTTTTTTTAAATCTTTATATTTGGTATAGTTTGTCAATTTAATTAAACTGATTTAGTTATGGAGTTAATGACCTATTAATGGACAGTGGCACAAGTTGGTAAATATTAAATAAAAATAAGTGTTAACTAGATGTTTACCCGCGCAACCGCGCATGTATTACTTTCAATTTTATATATATATGTTATTTATTTTATGAATATATATTTTTAACATTGAACATATATTTAAATGTTTATATAAATGTATTGTTAGTTTTAAGATGTTCTTATGTATTAAGAGAATGAAAATGGAAATTAAATATGGTTGTTAAGATTTTATTATACAAATACAAAATATAAGGTTACAAATTTTCTAAGGAATTGTCAATTTTTTTTAAAAATCACACATAAGAGAAGTTGTGACTTCTCTTTTAATATAATAGATTCTAAACTGTACTTCAGTTTTAATATATTAGACTAAATTTTGATCTTACGCCTGTGTTGGTGACTTTTCATTTTATAAATGTATAACTTCAATATTATCACAAATATTTTAAATATATTATTTGCATTTTAGTGTTATATACTGTGTAACTCTATAAAATTATTGGTTAGATATTTTATTCGGCATTATTAATATATAATGATTTCTTCGATAAATTTTATTTTTTTATTAATTATTATTACATACTAATATATTTTTGATTTCGGTACAATAAATCCATAATATGAAATAATTGAATAGAGAATATCTTTCAAAATATTATTTTTTTTTTAAATTTCTACACTTTCTTTAAAATACATTTATATTTTATATTTATTTATACTATAGAAAATATATTAGTTTAGAATAATTGATATTTTTATGTTGTGTTTAAAAAAATATATTTTACCATCTTTAAAAAAAAATACATATTTTAATAAATTTATTTTTTATATATAAATATTACAAATTTATGAATTTTAATCTTTTTAAAAGTTGAATGATATTTTTATTTATATAGTTATTTAAATTAATTTTTTCAAACATATTAATTTACCTATTAATATATTTCCATATTTAATTCATATATTACTTCTATTTTATATAATATCGACTATAGCTTTTAAATTTATAAGAAAACAGTATATAATTATATTTCTTGTGTTGTGATAAAATTTATTAACACTACTAATTATGAAATTAATAAATTTATTAAGTAAATATTTAAAATTTTGGTTAAATTTTATTAGATTTTTTTCTCTAACAGATTTTGTTATACAGTGAATTGTTTTACAGAAAATCGGATACAACCTATCCACAACTGTTTTACAAACCGGTAATTAGTGGTATACATTAAACAGTTACATACATGATAAACAGTTGCTTGGCTATCCAAAATTGCAATCTTTATCGTTTTTATATTAGTATACTAGGGTCCGGCCCATCCTACAGGCGGAATATACTTTATTTCTGATTTAAGTTATTATTTTTTTGCATGATTTTTTTATTTTGTCCTTTATGTTTTAGATTTGCATTTGCCAGACATGTGTATGACAATAATTTATATAGTTTTAAAAAATTTAGGTGAGTAGGGATTATATGTATATATTTTGTTTGTTTCACAATAGTTGTTTTATATTAAAGTTGTGGCATTTCATGTTGTTTCTTTTTATAAAAATTTGAATCTATATTAAAGTGTATTAATGGAGGTCATGTTTTTTTCTATAATTTTAAACTAAATTTTGGTCTCATATGTATTTACATATTTTTTTTTTTGAATATACAATGAACAGTTTACACAAATATATTATGGTGGGGAAATTAAAATTTGCTTTTGTTTTACGACCTATAGTGTGTACTCATATTATTGAATTTCCATAACTGAAAATTATATTCAAGAAAGCAAGCTATCTGAATAAAATTTAATTAAAACTTTAGATATGATCAAAATAATCTTTTAGCTTGTTCATTCAAAAAATTTATATAAAAATTAATTTAATTTATAACTGATTTTTATGTTTTTTTAACTAACTTTATAATGATTGAGTTATCGTCTCCAAGCCTAAAAGCAAACAGACATATAAATCATTTATGGTTTAGTTATAAAATAGATTTATCGATCTAACTAAATTTACAATTTTGCTATCTCAGTTGAACAAAAAATCAAAAATGCTAAACTATATTATTGCGCATAAAATAGTTAAGTAAGATAGTTTTGATCAAATCTCTTGCAAAATTAAGAAAAACAATAAGATTGGTGAAACATGATTTTTAAAATTGATGACCGACTTCGAGTGACTATTTATCAAATCAAATAAGATTTAAAGAGGCTATTTCTCAAAACCAACCAAATCAAAAGTATTAAAAATTATAGAGAAATAAATCCTAAATATTTATATATATATATATATATATATATATATATATATATATGTATGCACTATTAATCTATTACTTTCTTTATTCAGTTTTGAAGGTCGAGAAATAAAATGATCAAATTGAGTTGAACACAATCTAAGTTGTTGCCTGTTGGTCTGAAATGTTTCATTATATTTTCCTTTAACTTATGTTTTTAATTTAAATGGTTTTATTTTAATTATGTATGAAATGTTATCTTTGTATTTTAAAATTTTCATCGTTCTTTTCTGTTAACCTTTTATTCAAGTTGTAATGATTTATTCTTCTTAAATAACTATATAAGTTCTGTGTGACGTTACATTTAAATTTGTTTGTCAGAAGGTATGATTAGTATTGTTTAAGTCAACTTGAAAATGCCTATAAGCAATTTGTAGTCGTGAAAAAAAAAAAAAGTTTTACCAAGGTTAGGATGTATACTTTCGAAAGAGAAAGTGATTGGATCACACAACTTTATAAAGAAAAACAAAAGCCAAACATGTAGGTAGTTTAGCTATAGCGGTATGATTTTCCAGCTGTTCCTATCTTTAGTTTAAGCTGTCAAATACAATAAATTGCGGTGTAGCATGCTAAAGAGCTAATTACACCCAAAAAAAAGTTATTCCATAGAATACTCATGCCTAACATTGTTACAAAAAAAAAAAAAAAATCCTCATACCTTTCCTGGCAACTTCAAATTCCTCTATAGCCTTTTCTCCTAAATTTTTGTACACATTTTGAATCTAATCCTCACCTCAAACTTTGCCGATTGTACCCAATGGCAGACCCAGTCCAAATTTTTAGTGGAGTCAATATGTTGTTAAGTAAAAAATAAATGTTAAATAGGAGTCAAAGTGGAATTGAACCAAGATTTTTGTGGGTTCAGTAGATAGAAATAATCATTGAGCTACTGATTTTATTTGAAACTTAAACACAAATGAAACATTTTATCACATTTTTGTGGTGTCATTTGACACCATTCATTTCTTAAAGGGTCCGCCCCTGATTGTACCTACATATTTTAAATGAAATCAAGGAGATGAATGACCCTGCAATCATTTGGGAGAAAATAGCATTTTTTTTAGGAAAACAACAATGCAAGTAGTAGAATAAATTGCGGTATGATTTTCCAGCTGTTCCTATCTTTAGTTTAAGCTGTCAAATACAATAAATTGCAGTGTAGCATGCTAAAGAGCTAATTACACCCAAAAAAAAGTTATTCCATAGAATATTCATGCCTAACATTGTTACAAAAAAAATGTGTACAAAAATTTAGGAGAAAAGGCTATAGAGGAATTTGAAGTTGCCAGGAAAGGTATGAGGATTTTTTTTTTTTTTTTTGTAACAATGTTAGGCATGAGTATTCTATGGAATAACATTTTTTTGGGTGTAATTAGCTCTTTAGCATGCTACACTGCAATTTATTGTATTTGACAGCTTAAACTAAAGATAGGAACAGCTGGAAAATCATACCGCTATAGCTAAACTACCTACATGCTTAAAACAAAAGCCTATGATTTGTCAAGTATAACTCATAGAAGCCCACGATGCCAGAGGTTTAATGAAACACATCAGTCTACTCGGCTGGACATGTGTCTTCACCCTATAATCCGACTTATATATCTATGTGGCTGCTGATGTGAAGACCCTAAAGAATGAAAAACATAACTTTATATAACAAGATAGTCTTAAGAATTTAGTATATTTGATTTTATGTTAGTGGAAAATTTGGATCAGAGTACAACAATACATGCTCGATTAGTGATGTAATATATTTGACTATGATAATTTTGTGGTATAGTTGACTTAATTTATACAGTATTATGAAGAGTTTATATTTTTGGTAAGAATCAAACCGTAAACCGTGTTTATCATTGGTTTGAAGAGGTTATGTCTGGTTAAGTAAAACAATTGAATCAAGGTGATTTGATTATGTTTTATACTATTTAGGCCGGTGGCAAACAAAAATAAGGGTCAAGTTTTAGGTAACAATATATATGTAAGAGAGATTTGTTTAATCGGTAAATTAAATTTAGTTGGTTTATTAATATTCTAAAATTTATATGTTAAAGATCATTGGCAATCTATTGTCATTATTTAGGAAAAATCAAAGTTAAATATGTATTTTTTTGTCAACAATTTCTTTCATTCAAATAACTTGAAAACACAGAATTTCAACATTCATACATTCAACGTTAGACTTTGCCAAAGATGGCCTTAACATTATCAAAACAAGGAAAGGAATTAAAAGATAGAGAATTGAAGAGAGTAGCAAAGCTTTTAATGTCATGGAGAACGCGTGCAGTCTCATTTAAAACAAGCTCTAAGCATAGGGTAGCTATGAAGACTTGAAAGTCTGAGAACATATGAAAACTGAGAAGATTTATTTCCTCAGCCTTGAGGAGAGTTGAGCGGAGCTTCAAAGATTTATCCATGAGTGTAGAACTCACCAACACTCGAGAAAGTTTCTTTACTTCTTGGCAGTTGAAGACAATTTCGCAAAAGAGAGACATGAAAGTCTCAAAGGCAATCATGGTCAAAAGGTCAGTATCAAAGATTGCTGAAAAGGCAGCTACTGAAGGCATAGTTTCTGCATCTGAGATAACCATCTTCAACACAATATCCTCTGTAACAACACCCTTCAAAGCAAGTGGAAGTTTTGGAAAGAGAACAATCTCCATAGAGGAGAAATCAAGTCAATAATAACCCAGAAAAAAATCAGTTTTATAGCAGAACCAATGATAAGGTTTTTCAATACAATCAGCCACAATGGGGAGGAAGATAAACTAAGACTTTTCAATCCTAAACTCTGTAAACAGCATATCAACATGATACTAGTCCGAAGAACATCCTCATTATGAGTTAAGAGAGCTAAACTGAATCTCAACCTAAGAGATAGAGAGAGGTTAACATCCTCACGCTGAGGTAAATAGAGATTCAACAGGCCAGAACAATAAATTTTCCTCAAGAATAACTTTTTCCAAAGAGGTATATAGACAATACCGTTGTGCGAATTGCTGAAGAACGAGGCCAAAGACTGAGGAAAAAGAACACGGACGAAGAACGAGTCTGGAGGATCTGGTGGTTCAGGTGGAATGATAGGAGTGAGAGTTTCAATCGCTGCCGGAAAAAGCTTACAAGGCGGTGGATCAGGAGGAGGCCGGCACCGCGACGAAGGAGGATCACTCTTCATCCAAACCAGGTAGGAGGAGACGAGCTGCTTCAGAAGGAGGGCTGTGCGATGGGCTGATACGGAGGAGATCCATCAACGGAGGCGCCTAGGGAGGCGGGCCTGAGAGCTTTTTCAAATTGCGAATAATATTGTAACTAAGATAATCAAAAAATAAAGTGTCAGGATTAAATATTAAATGTACTTTTTTTAATAGATTAGATAGATAGGTTTGAATCAAATTTTGAATAAATATTAACATAAATAAATCTTGTAACCTAAAACACACATGAAATAAAGATAAGCCTTAAAAATGATTTTAGGATTATTAGATATATATCTTAACTTTTAAAATTACGTCTATATAATTGTTAAATATTTCTTCTGTTCTAATTTTTTCAATAAGTTAACTTTTAAAATTACGTCTATATAATTGTTAAATATATCCTCTACCCATGATATCCATGGAATTTCAAATACAAACATAATATGACTCCTGTTATTTTGTACTATTTTTAATCGTTTACTTTATGCAGTAAGAAAAAATAGATGACAGAAGAGAGGGCTATCAATCAAACTCTATAGCAAATGTTACGATGATGTGTCCACCTCAAATGTTATGTCATTTATAGAATCAGATCAAACCAATTCAACAAAACACAGTGACCACATGGTGTTGATAAAAGGAAGAACGAAAGACAATTATGCAACTCTTTGAGACATTTTTACTGTTTTTTTTCTGAATAATCCGGTGTATCTTGGCATTCACCAAAGTGGATCCAGACTAGCGGCGAGTGTCCGTATTAGTCTATGTTATCGGTTGGAGTATGCCTCAATCACCACATTTTTACTGTTCATCTGTTGAAAAAGCATATTTTACTGTTAAATCAGTTGAAAAACGGAAGTTAACAAGACAGTGAGTTCCTCATGTATGTCTATTACGCTAGGCAGCCCATGTTTTTATTAGATAGGCAGTTCTTCGCTGCTTCCATCATTCCATGGAGGTGAAATACAATCAAAGCGATTTAATTATAGATCAATGATTACTCTGCGAGTTACCGATCTACTTATTTTGTACTATTCCTGAAAAGTATAAAACATTAATTATATATGCTATTAATTAGTACTGTACGAAATGAGCAAAGCCATGTATACGCTATGGTTAGGTGAAATGAATAGTATATTCAAACGGAACGTGGAGATTACATTCTTAATACTCGAAAATATTTAACCATTTGTCTTTGAAATGTGCATATAAATAGATTATTGTAGATGCACATTCTTTTTGGTAGCTTGCTAATATATGCACGTTACACACATATCTAGAATTTTTCTAAATAAGTCAAACTACTTGACAGATTATAACCATGTGCGGTTGTTTCTTCTTGTATTTTAAAACATAGGTCTGATCTTTTGTAAGTTAAATGAGCTTATTTGGTGTTACAAAAAAAAAGAGCTTATTTGTATCCAATTAAAACACCAGGTATATATTTCTGGTATCAATAATATCTCAGAAATCAAAGTAGCATAAACTTCAAAGATCGGAACGATAAAATTATCATTTAAAATACCACTAATACTTCTTGCTTATGTATTACTACTATATATTCTGAATCTAAAATTATATAATTATCACAAACGTAAGTGGTGAGACTCTATTTCATTTTCTACAAATTTAATATGGCTTTCGAAAATCTATATTCAAACCTTTTGTTTTAAGATAAGTCTGAATGTATTTTTGGAAAAAAAAATTCCGTTTGTTTAATAATATCTTCAAATACCTCAAAAATTTAATATATGGCTGTTTAAATTTCTAAATATTATAGAACGTAGAAATTGTTAGTGTGTATAAGGCCAAGGTCCAGGATCATCAAGATGAGGCCCAAACATCAAGTCTTCAACGGTCGTCTAGTGTGTTGACTGTCCCTGCACATAAGACAAAGACGGAGCTGGAGCTATTCAACATGTATGCGCCTCTCTTATCCGTTGAGGCTTGACTGCAGACTTTACAGCTGTCTAGGTGGTTGTTATACCTANCTATTCAACATGTATGCGCCTCTCTTATCCGTTGAGGCTTGACTGCAGACTTTACAGCTGTCTAGGTGGTTGTTATACCTAGCTGTCACAATCTAGATTGTCCCAAGTTTGTGTATAAAAACATGATGTAAGACACAGTCAGTTTTAAGGAAAATAAGTTTGTCTTTTTCAAATCCTCTGTCTTTCTCTGTTCGTTTCATGGTATCAGAGCCATAGACACCTTAACAGGTAGCTATGGCCGATCCTCTTAATCCGTATCCTTTCCCCAGCAAAATACATGTTAGCAGTTCCGTGACCTTGAAGCTTAATGATAATAACTATCTCTTGTGGAAGACCCAGTTCGAGTCCCTGCTGTCTAGCCAAAAGCTCATCGGTTTTGTCAACGGAGCCACTACACCTCCAGATGCTACTCGTACTGTGATAGACAACAACGTTGCTATCCAACTCCCTAACCCTCAGTATGAAGCGTGGTTCTGTACTGATCAGTTGGTCCGGTCTTGGCTTTTTGGCACCTTGTCTGAAGAAGTCCTTGGCCATGTTCACACTCTTACCACAGCTAGGGAGATCTGGCTCAGTCTAGCTGAAAATTTCAACAAGAGCTCTCTCTCTCGTGAGTTTACTCTTCGTCGTAATCTTCAGCTTTTAACCAACAAAGGAAAGACCCTTGCTGCCTACTCTCGTGAGTTCAAGACCCTGTGTGACTCTCTCAGCTCTATTGGCAAACCTATTGAGGAGTCCATGAAGATTTTTGGGTTCCTCAATGGGTTGGGAAGAGAGTATGATCCCATCTCTACCGTCATACAGAGTTCCTTGACAAAGTTTCCACAACCAACCTTCAACGATGTGGTTTCTGAAGTTCAAACTTTTGAATCTAAGCTCCAATCCTATGAAGAAAACAAAACAGTGACACCACATCTTGCCTTTGCTACTCAAACCTCCAACCACGCTCACGGCCACAAACCCAATACCCCACCTTACAATCCGAACTACCGTGGTCGTGGGAGGTCATCATACAGAGGCAGAGGAGGTTACTCTACTCGAGGTCGTGGGTTTCCTCAGCATCAGTCTCAACCTACTGCTCCTGGTGGACGTCCAGTGTGTCAGATTTGTGGACGTATTGGTCACATAGCTCTGAAATGTTATAATCGCTTTGATAATAACTTTCAGGGTCATGAGGCTCATTCTCTAACGATGGTAGATGAGCATGGGAGAGAGTGGTATCCTGATTCTGGTGCTTCTGCTCATGTCACTGCATCCACTCAGAACCTTCAGGTGTCTCATCCTTATCAGGGGTCTGATGTTTTGATGGTTGGAGATGGAGCCTACCTCCCTGTTTCTCATGTTGGATCCACTACTATCACCACTTCTGCAGGTAACATCTCTCTTAACGAAGTTTTGGTTTGTCCAGATATTAAAAAGTCATTATTATCTGTCTCCAAACTTTGTGAGGATTATCCATGTGGGTTTTTCTTTGATGTTAACCATGTATATGTGATTGACATACCACATCAGAAGGTGATAGCAAAGGGGTCCAGAAGTAACGGTCTTTATAAGTTGCAGAGTGCTGAGTTTCAGGCCTTCTATTCTAATCGTCAAGTGTCAGCTTCTGAAGAGGTATGGCATCACCGGTTAGCTCATGCAAGCTCCAGCACTCTTCATCAACTTCTTACCAACAAGTCAATTTCCTTCAATAAAAACAAGACTCTTCCTATCTGTCAGCCATGTCAAATGGGAAAAAGTAGCCGTCTGCAATTTTTTTCTTCTCAGTCTGTTGTGTCAGAACCTCTAGGATGTATCCACTGTGATCTCTGGGGTCCCTCTCCTGTTGTGTCTAATCAGGGGTTTAGATTTTATGTCGTGTTTGTTGATGAATTCTCTCGCAACTGTTGGTTCTACCCCTTGAATAATAAAGCAGAGTTTTTCTCAGTTTTTATGGGTTTTCACAAGCTTGTTGAGAATCAATACAACAGACGACTTAAAATCTTACAAACAGACGGTGGTGGTGAGTTTGTCAACAACAAAATGAAGCAGTATCTGATCGAACATGACATACAACATCGCATTTCTTGTCCCTATACCCCGCAACAGAATGGGATTGCAGAACGAAAGCACAGGCATATTATAGAGCTTGGTCTGTCTATGATGTTCCATAGCCACTTACCTCTGCATTACTGGGTTGAAGCCTTCTACACAGCTTCGTATGTCAGTAATCTTCTACCTAGTGCTGCCAAAAACAACCAGAGTCCTTCTGAAATTCTGCTTGGGAAGAAGCCAGAATATGGTCATCTTCGTGTTTTTGGATCCGCGTGCTATCCCTGCCTACGTCCTGTTGCAGAACACAAGTTTGAACCTCGCTCCCTCCTGTGTGTCTTTCTGGGATACAGCTCTCAGTACAAGGGTTATAGGTGTCTCTATCCACCTACAGGGAAAGTGTTTCTCTCAAGAAATGTGCTATTTGACGAAGCTTGCTTCCCTTTCAAGGAACAATATAAACACTTGGTTCCTAAATATGCAACGAGTCTACTCAAAGCTTGGCAACAGGCCACGACATCTTCTCCTCAGTCTTCCCCTGCAGACGTTTCACAGAGACCACCTTCCCTCCTACCCGGTCTACCTTCATCCCTGCATCCTCCCCTTCAAGCTCCTCCCTTAAATCTTCCCCACCAAGAACCAGAGGTTGTAGCCTCCCCTGTAGCGCCAGTTGTGGAACAACAACACAATACACACCAGATGAGGACTCGTGCAAAGTCTGGCATTCAGAAACCAAACCCAAGATATGCTCTTGTGGCTTCCAAGTTTGACCTCAAGAAACCAAAGAATATCAGAGAAGCGATGAATCACCCTGAGTGGAGTGGAGCTGTCACTGAGGAGATCGCCAAAATACACATGCTCCATACCTGGACTTTAGTCCCTCAGACTCCTGACATGAATGTAGTAAGCAGTGGTTGGGTTTATACTGAGAAGACTAATCCAGATGGAAGTAGAAAACCAAAAGCTCGTCTAGTTGCTAAAGGGTTTCAACAAGAAGAAGGTCGTGACTACCTGGAGACCTTTAGTCCAGTAATTCGAACTGCTACTATCAGGTTGATGCTTAACATAGCGATTGCCAAAGACTGGTCCATCAGGCAACTCGATGTCTCAAGTGCCTTTCTCCATGGAGAACTCTCTGAGCCTGTCTACATGTTTCAGCCGGATGGTTTTGTTGATCCACAGAAACCAGAGTATGTGTGTCGTCTCACCAAAGCGTTGTATGGTCTTAAACAAGCTCCGCGAGCATGGTTTGACACCTTTAGCAACTTCCTCATTGATTTTGGCTTCAAGTGTAGCAGGTCAGATCCTTCGTTATTTACTTATCACTCTCAACACAAGACTATGGTGCTATTGTTGTACGTTGATGACATCTTGCTTACTGGGAGTGATGATGCTCTTCTTCAAGAGTTATTAGTGGTGTTGAACACACGGTTTGCTATGAAAGATATGGGAGCTCCAAAACATTTCCTTGGTGTTGAAATGCAGCAATATCAGTCTGGGATCTTCCTTCACCAACAAGCTTATGCAAAAGACATTTTACATCAGGCGTCAATGGCTGATTGTAATCCCATGCCAACTCCTCTCCCTGTCACTATTGAAGACTACCCTTCAGACTTATTCTCAGAACCAACATACTACAGAAGCTTGGCTGGGAAGTTACAATACTTGACGATAACAAGACCTGATATCCAGTATGCAGTGAATCGTGTCTGTCAACATATGCATCGTCCCACAGTAGCTGACTTTGGCTTACTGAAGCGTGTATTGAGGTATATCAAAGGGACTACTCAGCTTGGAATTCACATTAGGAAGGATAATGGTTTACAATTGTCAGCTTACTGTGACAGTGATTGGGCTGGGTGCAAGGAGACTAGGCGTTCTACCACTGGCTTCTGCACCTTACTTGGTCCTAATCTCATTTCTTGGTCTGCTAAAAGACAACCCACTGTGTCTCGATCTTCTACAGAGGCTGAGTATCGTGCCCTTGGCTCCACGGCTCAAGAAATAACGTGGTTGTCCTTCCTGCTTCGAGACTTTGGTGTTGCTCAACCTGATCCTACTGTGTTACTCTGTGACAACTTGTCTGCAGTCTATCTCAGTGCAAACCCAGCTCTCCACAACCGGTCCAAACACTTTGATACTGACTACCACTACATCAGAGAACAAGTGGCCTTAGGACTCATTGAAACAAGGCATATCCCGGCTACTCTTCAGCTCGCAGATATCTTCACCAAATCTCTTCCTAAGAAGCCGTTCTCTGACTTGCGTGCCAAACTTGGAGTTGGTGATCCTCCCACCTCAAGTTTGAGGGGGGATGTTAGTGTGTATAAGGCCAAGGTCCAGGATCATCAAGATGAGGCCCAAACATCAAGTCTTCAACGGTCGTCTAGTGTGTTGACTGTCCCTGCACATAAGACAAAGACGGAGCTGGAGCTATTCAACATGTATGCGCCTCTCTTATCCGTTGAGGCTTGACTGCAGACTTTACAGCTGTCTAGGTGGTTGTTATACCTANCTATTCAACATGTATGCGCCTCTCTTATCCGTTGAGGCTTGACTGCAGACTTTACAGCTGTCTAGGTGGTTGTTATACCTAGCTGTCACAATCTAGATTGTCCCAAGTTTGTGTATAAAAACATGATGTAAGACACAGTCAGTTTTAAGGAAAATAAGTTTGTCTTTTTCAAATCCTCTGTCTTTCTCTGTTCGTTTCAGAAATAAAGAGAAAAGCAGAGGAGGTTCTATCAACTTAACCTACAATAAGACAAGACAATGCAATTTGAAGAATCAATAATTTTGTATAGTTAATACCATTTCTCTGAATAAAAATAAATCATCTTTCTCTTTCATTTATTCAAAAAGTTTTTTTGTCTAAAACATAAATATAGAATACTCAAAAATGATAAGAGATAAAAATAATAATTTAATCAATAAGAGCATTTATAATGTATTTTGTTATTTTCTTCTAAAATATATGAATTATAATAGAGGTTGGAGTTCACTCTAATACATTTCTCTAGAATAACATTTTAAATTATAGAGTGAAAATAGAAGAATACTAATTTCTCACATTTATAGAGAAAAATAGCTATTTTTATTGTAGAAGAAGAAACATAAATGAGTTAGAATGTATTTGCTTTTAAATAGTTGGGTTGAAGATCATAGTTGAAAGTATTATCATGCATGGCAATATCATTTACCCTTATGCTCATTATAATTTGTCCATGCTTTTGGTGAACATTTTTTATAAGTGGATACACTTTGCTATTAAAAATAATCAAATGATTTTCTACCTTATCAGACTACTAAAAACAGCATATATAGACATTGCTTTTGTGATTAGGTCGCATTCAAGACCGTGATATGTAACTGAAGTTTGTTTCTTATAAGGTAGGATGTACATTCGTTGTGACTAATCGTTGAGTGTACTTTTATACTCTTTTACCTTAAATTGATTCAGATTCGGCTAATCTAGACTATAGTCATCAAGTAGTCAAAGCTGAGAAATGATACCCTTTTTGTTTTCAAAAGCAATACAGTACATGATTAATATATCTTTTTCAGAAACTTGGTGCCTTCGTGTCTCGTACCCATCACTCATTCACTTGTGTCAATCGGGAGTCAAACGCACTCTGTCGCTGACCTCAATTCCTAACAAATACACACATTTATAATATCATACTACTTGCCAAAAAAATAATAATAATATCATACTATCTGAAGATGAATATTATCATGTAACATCAAACCATATAATATTCAGTAACAAATATAATAACAATAATCTCACGCACAAACCAACTCTCCCTTTTCTCTATAAATACACACATTTGCCTCCACTCCTTCTCCTTCAAACATTTCATAATCCTTCAATTACAATATTCAGAAAAAAATATCCTTATCTTCAACCAAGAATGGGAGAGGTCAGTGGCCTTCTATTATTCTTTTGCCTTGATTTAAATTTTTTTGTAACCACAACTTTTCTTGATGCATGTGTTAAATTATGTGTGTAGAAACAAGAAGGTGCCAAAGTTGAACAAGAGAGGGAGACAGCCACCGTAGTATCTACTGAGCTGACCGACGACAAGCCAAAGAGCGGTGGAGAAGACTCAGCTGCAGCCCCGGCCGCAGCGACTGCCTCCGCCTTTGTATACAAAGTGGATATGCACTGCGAAGGCTGCGCAAAGAAGATCCGGCGAATGGTGAAGCACTTAGACGGAGTGAAAGATGTGACGACGGATGTGGGTGCAAACCAGCTCACGGTGGTCGGAAAGATCGATCCGGTGAAGCTCCAGGAGAAGTTGGAGGATAAAATGCAGAGAAAGATGGTACTTACCAACCCACCACCACCATTACCGCCCAAACTAGACGCATCTTCGGCCGTCGCTGCCGTTGGAGAAAAGAAATCCGACGGTGCAGATAAAGCGGCGGCTCCTGCTCCTCCTCCTCCGGCCGCTCCCAAAGAGGTATAGATTTAATTATTATCATTATTATACAGTAGCTACTAATAAAAAGTAGCTTTAAAAAAGTAGTATGCATAACTGATTTGGCTTTACATTATTTTTGTTCAGAGTTCGGTAGTTTTAAAGATGAGACTACATTGCGAGGGATGTATACAGAAAATCAAGAAGATAATATTGAAAATCAAAGGTAAAGAGATTAATAAACAAACGAAGTTGATTTTGCTTTCCTTAATTCAAGTTAAAACTAAATTTAATGATGCTAAATACTTGATGTTATTAACTTGAAACAGGGGTTGAAACAGTGGCTATTGATGCAACTAAAGACATAGTGACAGTGAAAGGAATGATGGATGTTAAAGAACTTGTGCCTCTACTCACAATGAAACTCAAACGAACAGTTGAACCTCTTCTTCCGGCCAAAAAAGACGACGGAGCGGCCGAGAAAAATAAAACAGAAGTTGCTCCTACCGCAGCAAACAAAGAAGGTTCTGCTTCCGGAGTTAGTGAAGCAAAGAAGGAAGGAAATGAAGCTGGGGAGAAGAAGAAAGAGGATGGTGACGATGTAGAGAATAAGAAAGAAGCTAAGGACGGTAGGGAGAATGAGAAAGAAGCTGAAGCCACAGAAGAGAAGAAGAAAGAGACTGGAGACGGTGTTGAGAAGAAGGAAGGTGGCAGTGTAGGAGGTGAACCTGTGGCGATGGTGAATAAAATGGATTATTATGGGTACTCATATCCGACGGCTCCAATGTATTGGCAACAAGGTCACGTGTACGGCCAGAGTTATTCGATAGAAGGCCAGAGTTATCCAGGTTCAGGATACAATTACGCTAGTGAGAGTTACGTGCCATACTCGCATCCTAACATGAACACGTCTCCTGGAATGTTCAGCGACGAGAACCCTAATGGTTGCTCCATAATGTAAATGTAACCATGTCCATGGACTTTGAATTGTATATATACGAAACTGTTAAGTGTTAAAACTTAAAACAAAAAGCGTGGAACATTCACAATTGGTAACTTTATAATTAGATAAACTTTCGAAACTGAGATGAAGCCAGCTTTACTTTAATTGTAGTTTTAGCAAACAATTAACAAAAATAAATTTGTTCAAAAAGAATTATTTGGTAGGTCTATCATTTTTTTTTGGCCTTTGAAGATGGATTTATATGAATGTCTAGTTACCTAAGACGATGTATTTTTTTTTTCCATTAGGAAATCATTTTGCTTGATTGATTTATGTAGAAAGACGATTCAAATGATTATCTTTGTATGATATATCGAAAAGATACAACAATGAATGATTATCTTTGAAAGTTAATCAAAGCCATTTTCCGATCAACCATACTATTATTTTCCCCATTGTAATCATTGTTACCCTTTAGGTAGCTAAAGTTTTATCTTTATGGCCACGAATGAATCATTAGTCTTCTTCAATACTTCATTAATGAATTAGATAATTGTACTTCAGATAGTAAATAATTAAGCATGTATATAATCTATGAAACATAATTTAGCAAACCGAAAATAAATTTAAATAATGAAAAATACATGAGATAATGGTATCAAAGTTATGTTTTGAAATAATGTATTTTAATAGAGTTTAAATCTAAACAAAATTCACCACTATTCGAATGATGATTCTAATTATTCATTTTTAAAATCTAGTGTTATTAAATATGGTATTTACAAATCTTATTTAAAATATAATGTTATTCAATAAATGATTTAAATCTAATTTTTAAAATCTAGTGTTATTCAACTTAAGAAAAATCTGTATTTAAAACTGATTCCAAATTATTTGTTGTGTAGTCTCATGAACAAATGATTGAAATCAAAATATAAGAATATTGCATAGATTTTAGAACTCACCCCTTAAAACTATTTTTATTTTAAATTTAACTATTTTCATTTTTAAACACAACATGAATATATAAATTATCATTAACAAATATTTATCTATAGTATATCTACACAAATGTTAAAATGTAATGTATGCAAATTGCATAAACTAAAACCCTACATTAAAAAAAGATTATATATTTTATTATTTTAGATTATAATTTATGTATCAAAATCAAAAATATATTAATAAGTAATAACAATCAATAAGAATATAAATTAAAATTTATGAAACAAGTTACTATATATTAATAATGATGAATAAGAAAATAAAACAACAAAATTATAGAGTTATATAATATATAAAATTAAATGTAAATCATATATTTAAATTTCTATAATACTATCAAAGTTTTATATTTATAAAATGAAAATTTTGTGTGGGTCAAACTCTAGTATATAATTTTTTATTTAGATTTTAGGAATATATAATGCTTTCTAGATAAATTTTAATTTCTAAAATAAAAACATTTGTATTTCAAGTAAAAGATAAATATATGGGGTGATATTATAATCAAATTATGTAAAATTTGATTATTGTTTTAAAGATGGGTTCAAACAGGAAAATTATACTTGAAATAACTCATGACTTCATTTTTTATTGTATAGATAGATAAATATATAATAATTATTTTTGTATATTTTAAATAGAATTTCAGTATTTGTTTCTAACATAACCTAGTTAATTTTGTAAATATATTCAAAACTCCAGCAATTTATATTATTATTTTCATTAAATATAATTAGAAATATTTTAGATAATTTTAAAATTTCATTTATAAATAAAATAATAATTTAATGATATTTTATGATAATTAGAATTTAAATTTAATTATTTTATAGATACCATTTAAAAAAATGCCAAAAAGATTTTGCTAGGTTTATTTCATTTGTACTTCAAACAGAAAGATAAAGATATTTAAAAATATTATTATTAAATTAGGTAATATTTGATAATCTTATTATTTTTTTCTAAAGAATAGTCAATTTTTTTAAAAAAATCACACATCAATCAAAATTGTGACTTCTATTTTAATATATAAGATTTGATTACAAAACAATGAAAAGTAATTTAAAATCACTGATTGAATAACAACCCCTAAATAATTGAAAGGATACTGAGAATGCAAGACAATAGTTTAAAAGAGAGTATTTTTGCTTTCGTGAAATTATATAAGATCGACTTGAAGTGATGTAATTCGAAAATTTTGACTTGAGAAATTCATTAACAGATATTGTGAAAGCTTTTATGGTCGCACAGGCCTCAACTGTCTCCCAATTGAGGCCACATTGTTACAAAAAAAAAAAAATTAGTGAGACCGAATTGTTTCATTATTTTAACCACATTGTTGAGTATAGGTATGCACGAAATAAAATATGAAATTGAGTTCAACAAAAAAGTAAATCATTAGAGAAACGCATATCCTCCACAGTGAATAGCTATGATACTATAAATGATTGCCATCATCATCTTCAAATATTCTCTTAGTGTATACCCATCTTCTAATGCAAGATTCTAACATGTTGAGCCAGATTCTCGACACCAATTGAAATAATGGAGAGAGATAACACACGCGAATCACGTTCGATAGACCATGACTTTCACTAAATCTAAAATCTTCTTTACTATAAATCGTTTAGGCTGATTACACACAAATAATTGGGTTTAAACGCCACTAAACACAAATTTTATCTACCACTAGACAATTCCTGATCTAGCATGATACTTTAGGTCCTTTTTTTTTGTCACGCTCATGAAACTTTAGGTTAACATACAAATATTCATTGACTTTTCTCTCAAAAATAGAGTAAATATGTACCCTCCAAAATATCAAAAGCTCTTTTTTTCTCTTGTGATATTTTCGCTAACTTTAACATGTAAACCACATGTACGGTGTCCATCAAACGTCTCTCATTCCGTGTTTGTTTTGATTTCTTATTCCAACGCATAATGTATTTAGGGGTTATTTGTGAAATAAAAAAATGATAATTAGATTTTTTTATCTTCTCTTAGATTATCAAAAATTCCAGCATGTCTAGTTTTTGTTTTTTTTTTTGTTTTGCTAAACGTGTCTAATGTCTAATTTCTTTAGTTATGACAGTTAGGTCTCATATATATGTATTGATATGGTGGATTAAAGTTATAAAAAAAAATTACCATATGAAAATTCAAAAAATAATGTCAGCCCTTGTGTATCAAAATTATCTATTATTAAATTAGCATATAAACGGAATTGCTTTTTATTATATTGCTTTAGGTGAAGAAATATTACATGGCCATCTTCAAGTACTGTCATTAATCATTATATGGTGTGAGTTTGTTAATTGCACAATTACGCAAGTGTTTTTAACAGACAGCATTTGGTTGCTCTCTCAACGTGTATGATTGTACGTGTGCATTTTTTATGTACATTTGGTCATTTTTATATACTACATTCTTTAGCAGGATTAATGGTGATTCTTGAAATGAAAAATAAAGAGTGGCTATTAGTCACGTATATATCTTCTGAAGTGCTGCACAAAGACAAACTAATTATAAAAAGTCATGTTGATAATGATTCCGTCACTCACTTATTTCTCTCTAATATAGGAGTACTACTTTTCTTTGTAACCCATGTAATTTTATACCCATTAATTATGATTTTTTAAAAACTGTACACAATATTCTATTCTCTCTCAAAACCATGGAATAAACCAATCACTGGATGCTGATAATAAATTGAATACACACACACTCGTACCCACCCTATTTTGAGATTTATTTATGGAAATAATATATCATCAATACCCCCATATATAATCCATCCCCTTATGACAAACTTTTATCTTTGGAAACATATCGAATTATAGTATGTATCCATAACATATTTAATAACAAATAATACAAGAACATACGTTGCGGATAGCGTGGAAACTCTCCTCTATATGTAGGCAAATAATTGCGTGTGTACATGTACGTGTTGCCAAATTGATCACTTCTTGTCGCAATAGAGGGAAATTGAACTAAACAAGTAATTGATTTCCCTTGCTCCCGTCAACGTTTTTTAAGCATACGACCCAAATATTAGGTATCATGAGCGATGTAAGTTAGTGGAGATGTTATAAAAGAGCCAATACAATAAAGTAAAAAGAAGTTTTATCATTTGAGAATTGAGGCAAAGAAAATAAACCAAACATCTTATAACTTCTATCGTCAAGCCTCAGTTTTTAAAAAGGTTTGTCTTTACCTAAAAATGTATTTGGAATTTTCTGAAGTAATTAATAATAGAATACCGGTATTAAATATCTACAAATATATCAATTTATCTAAAGTAATATCATGCATCTGAATGATCTATTAGTCTATTTAATCAAATTGGGAATCCACTAAGATGTTTTGTCATTGCTCACTAAGTAAACATATTGACAATTATTAAACTAGTACCTAATAATGATGATGATAATATGAATTAGGTGATAGGTTGCAAAATCCAATCAAA